TTGTTTTGATGTTTTACTTACTGCTCAATAATTGAACGCAGACATAGTCTCTTCCTGTTCGCAACTCTCCTCTGAAGAACCATCTCTTTAGAGTGTTGAATCAGTTTCTGGGGTACTGTCGGCATGAAGTTTTGATTTAATTATCTCCTTTAGTCTCACCTCCCCGCTAATCTTTGGCGATAGCGCACCGTCAACCAATGAGTTGCTAGGAAGAGAAAGATCTCTCTCCACAAAAGTGCTTGTGAAATCGTAGCGTCGAAATCCTTGTCGCAATCCATCGTCAACTTGAGTTGTCATAGTGGGAGAAATTAAAACCGAAAAGCATATGTTTAGAAGCTGTATCTTACCCCTTGAGAATAACATTTAAGAAATTTCAAACTTTTCTCGCTTGAAGTAAAGATCCAACAAACACTACAAATCGCTCCTAATTCACCAATTATAGTTGTCTAGGCGGGTTTCCAATAGGGACAAAAATAAATCACTTACATCAAACATAGTCCTTTCCTCTAAAGCGACGCACAGCTCTTGATCACTCAACTCCATAACTGCCAAGACAGGAAAGAAACTACAAAGGAGANGAAGAACCATCTCTTTAGAGTGTTGAATAAGTTTCTGGGGTACTGTCGCCATGAAGTTTTGATTTAATCATCTCCTTTAGTCTCACCTCCCCGCTAATCTTTGGCGATGGCGCACCGTCAACCAATGAGTTGCTAGGAAGAGAAAGATCTCTCTCCACAAAAGTGCTTGTGAAATCGTAGCGTCGAAATCTTTGTCGCAATCCATCGTCAACTTGAGTTGTCATATGTGGGAGAAATTAAAACCGAAAAGTATATGTTTAGAAGCTGTATCTTACCCGTTGAGAATAACATTTAAGAAATTTCAAACTTTTCGCGCTTGAAGTAAAGATCCAACAAACACCACAAATCGCTCCTAATTCAACAATTATAGTTGTCTAGGCGGGTCTCCAATAGGGACAAAAATAAATCACTTACATCAAACATAGTCCTTTCCTCTAAAGCGACGCACAGCTCTTGATCACTCAACTCCATAACTGCCAAGACAGGAAAGAAACTACAAAGGAGACGTGAGCTGAACGTTGTCACAAGTAAAATGAACTCTCTCAAGACCGTTTGACTTATAAACGGGTATTCACAACACAATAGACAATGTCACGTGCTTAACAACCAATGAGAAGTTGGGGGATAGGGGTTACGCGATATCACGTGGTCAAGAATCAATGAGAAGACGGGGGGATAAGGGGGTATACCCCACGGTAATGTCATTAAATTGTTATAAACAAAACAACGAGTCTGAGTCTTTATAACGTTTATTGGATGATAATAACTCCAAAGGGAGAATTGATTATAATTTTAAGTCTTGACCGTCGGAATTCCACAAAGTGTTGAGAACTAGACTCGTTTCCAGTTTCTCAGATTCTTGGTCCCAGGCCTTAAAACGCACGACATTCTGGCCTAGTTTTCGTTGCTTTTGGTCGTGAAGTCTTTGCCTGATCCGCTCCTTATTCTTGGCATAATAACATCTCCAATATTCGTTGATCCGTTCCCTGTTGTTTTTACTGTATTGTCTTCGGTAATTCCTGATGTGCTCCTTGTTCTGTTGACAGTAGGCTCTCTGGCTGCTGACGAGTCGTTCCTTGTTGTTTTCATACCATCTTTTACGACGGGTTTTGAGAATCCTGACGTTCTCTGCACGATATCTTTTATATTGGGCCAGAATTCGCTCTCTGTTCTTTGCATAATGTTTTTTTATGGTAGGCCTTTTTACAGACAACCTTCTGGTCATCCCTGACAGTTGATTGGAGCAATTCATC